CCCCCCCCCTCTCTCCCACAAAGCAATGAACATGAAAACTCAAATGAACAATAAAAGTTTAAAAATAAAAATCAAAACGATCATCAAATCAACGCCGTTTTTTACTCGACGACCCTTCGTCACCATCAGCACCTCGCTTTCGCACCTCCTTTGCCGACTGCAGCAACTGACCCAACCCGAACAGATCTTCTTCGTCTTTCTCGAACTAAACAACAATACTCTTCTTATTTCGCACATCCGTCTTTCAAAAACAAAACTTATCACCTCATTCACCGCGCCGCACTTCCCTACTTACAATCGAACTCAAATCAACTGATTCACTGATTGCTTTGGTTTTCGCAATCGCTATGCGTTCATTGTGTGGCTTACATTCAACGCAAGTTAACAAAGCTAAAAGTTTCGCATCATAATTTTCGTCGATCACTGACACGTTCATTCTCTGGCTGCTGAACTCGTATGTTGTCAACTCAAACGCAAACTTCAGAATTCACACTTACTCAAGGAACCATCATCTGGTGACTCACTATCGATAAACAGCTCATAAATGTATAAATTGAGTAAAAATGGGCACAACTTTTGCAACTGAAATATATCACTTTGACTGCGACTAATGAAGAGTTATACTAATCGTTAGAGGAAGAAAAATCTAAATCCATCAAATAACAGATAACCGAGAAATAAAAGAAAGTAACTCAAAAATTTCTTTCTCTGCATCGAAATGAATAAATGCATAAAAACTCCACCTGAACAGGTCCTCCGGTACGCGTCGTTCCACCTTCCGTACCACTGAATCCTTTATCTGGCACGAAACGATTCGTACTGATTATTCGGTCCAGGTCATCACCATACACATCCTTATCGAGGTTTTTACCTCAAGTTAATGAATACAATTAACACATTTCAGTCACTTCATCCAAATAAGTCAGCAGAGTCAATCCACTGCGTGAATTCATAATTGCTGGCAACTTTTCTTTCGACCTCAATTCAGGCCTTATGGTTCCTACTCCATAGTTGTACTTCGCTGACGAAAAACATCCACCAAACGGTACAAAAATCATGATGAAGTGATGATGATAAGGTGGTGGTGACCACTGATATCCAACTCGAGAATTTCTTGTCCCGAATTCGCATTTTTATGAAATTGCTGGCTCCAACTCCAGCTAAGCATCTTCCAAAATTTTGGCTAAGGCCTTAGCTTAGTCTCTGAAACTTGCTCCGGAAAATACTATCTTGCCAATTTCAGCATTGGCTAGTGGATGTTGATGTAATATTTTTTTGAGGAAGCCAAAAAATTTTTTGCTGCGAAAGTCA